ACTCTCTTACAACTTGGAGACTTTAAGTCCAAGTTCAAAGTGCCAGGCTCTAGGGGCTGGGTGAAAGCCCCTCAGCCTTGGGCTTCAGCTCTCCCTCCAGCTCTCGGCCCACTGGAGCTAGAGGCATTTCTTCACTTAGACAGCTGATAGCTGCTGAGGCTGAAAAACCCAAGGCTGACAAATAAAAAGGCACAGTCCCAATGTTTCCAAAACACAGCAGGCCATTAAGTCCATTGTAAGTCCCAAGGTTGGCAGAGCATGGCAGGCTGCTGAACAACGACATGGCTACATGCAGAGTCCAAGTGTGCCATAAGCTAGAGAGCATTCCCAAAGCTGCTGCTTATATATGGGAAGCAGACCACATACCCAAAGGCAGCTACTCAGCTGCTTGTGGTAGATCCCACCATGGAGTTGATTGCCAGTCTCATCATAGGGAATAACTACCACCAGCTGCCCAGCCACTCAACCAGGCCTAGCCAAGTTGACACACAAACTTAACCACCACACTCGTCATTAGGGAATTTTAAAAAGACTAATATGACCAAGTGTTGTCAAGGATGTAGAACCAACCAGAACTCTCAAACACTGCTGATCAGGATCCAAAATGGTAGTCAATTTGGAAAATATATACACATATAAGGACTTGTATATGAATGTTCATAGCAGCATTATTCATAATAGCTAAGAACTGATAACAGTCCAAATGTCCATCAACTGATAATAGATTAACAAAATATGATATATCCATACAATGGACTACAACTCAGCAAAAAAAAAAAAAAAAGGACTACTGATACATGCTACCACATGGATGAATTTCAAAAACATCACACAAGGTGAAAGAAGCCAGACTCAAAAGGCTACACACTACATGATTCAATTTATATGACATTCTCAAAAAGACAAACTCAAGGGATAAATCAGATTGGGACCAGGAATAGGGGAAGGGGATTGACTACAAACTGGCACTAGGGAACTTTGTGGAATGATGGAAATACTCCATATCTTGAGTCTGGCGGTAGTTATACAATGTATATATTTGCTGCTGTTGTTGTTGTTATGTGCCCTTGAGTCGGACCCGACTCATAGCGACCCCTCCTTGGGTTTCTGAGGCAGTATCACTATGGAAGTAGATTGCCCCATCTTCCTTCCGAGGAGTGCCTGGTAGGTTTGAACCGCCAGCCTTCTGATTAGCAGTCAAGTGCCTTAAGCACTATGCTACCAGAGCTCCCATATATTTTCTAGAACACATCCAACTGTACCTTTAAGACAGGTGAATTTTATTGGACATAAATTGAACTTCAAAAAAACTGTTACGCACAAAACCACAACAAACCAAACTCGTTTCCTTGCAGTTGATTCTGACTCATAGTGACCTCCATTGAGTTTCCAAGCCTGTGAATCTTTACAGAGCAGTCTGCCCCATCTTTCTTCCATGGGGCAGCTGATGTGTGCAAACCACTGACCTTTTGGTTAGCAGCCACATGCCTTAACCACACCACCCCAGAGCTCCCTGTTAAGCACAAAAGTAAACAGGTGGCACAGTGTCTAAGGCATTTGACTGCCAACTAGAAGTTTGGTGGTTCAAACCCACCAGCCACTCCTCAGAAGGAAGATTGGGCAATCTACTTCCGTAGTGATAAAAACTCCAAAACAACCATCTGACTCAATGGCAGTGAATGAATGAGTGAGAGAGATATGGAAAATGACTCTATGCTTATCTCTTGTGGTGGGATGTCAAGTGCTTTTTATTTTCTTCTCTTTGCTTATCTAAATTTTGCAAAAATTTTCACAGTGAGTAGGTAGTGCTTTTGTAGACAAAAAAAAAAAAAAGCAACAATAAAATGCCATAAACATAAATAATTAGTTATTTAACAAGGAGCCTATTGATTCAACATTGTTTGCTTGTAATGAAGCCCATTTGGGTCCCCTCCTTCTCATCTATCTTTCCTTGGTGGCACTTCTAAGAGGTGAGCTGAGGAAAAAGATGCAAAAAGGTACAGAGCTTAATAGCAATGCTTTATTCATCCAGGCCTGGATTTGGCTTTTGCTTTGAGTTTTGGATGAATACACAGTAGCCTGATGATAGGGGGGCTCTCATCCACTTTGCCAACTCCGCCCTCCATTCCAACCCAAATCAACTCATGCATCCTCCAAGCCCCAAGAGGAAGGCTGGGCGGATTGTGGTTTGTAGGGTCCAGGCTGGTGCCCGCCTCCAGCTCACATTGGTTTGTTGGGTGCTGCGTGGTCTTGGTGAGGTCAAGAGACCATTCATCAGTGGAGACCCATGATAGAACTACCTCTCGTGATGCACATGGCAGGACAGGACACGGAGTCCCTCCAGAAACCACTCTGGGGTGGGCGTGCTCAGTGTCAACAGGTCTTTGGCCCTTTTCCCCCACACACATCCAACCCATCTTCGAACTTTCTGCCCGTGAAAGGGCAGTCACCTCAAGAGACCCTACCAGCCCATAAGTAGAGGATGGTTCAACAAGAGAAGCTTCATTGCTTGCCTGGAGTGTCTTGGGGTAGCTGTACAAAACCCCTAATGAAGTCAAGAGACGGGAGTCAGGTGAGTATAATAAAGCTCTAATTATAAAAGTAGCTTCATAAAAATATCATCTTCTAGAGTGAATATACAATTTTCTAGCCACACTAGTAAAGAAGTGCAGCCCAGAGGAAGCTCAGGGCAGCTAGGGAAAGGGAGATAATCACATTTGTCCCCATGGCCTCTGTTTTGTCACCCATCAATGCTAACTTGGGAGAGATCCTTGGTTCCCAACTTGGGGTCTCTGTCCTTAGCCTTCGCAGAGCCACTACCTTCAGGAACCGCTTTCAGCATCTGAAAACTACACACAAACCCACAAGGCTGTACTACCTTATTAAAACATCATGTCATGCCTGTTACCATTGGGGTCAAATCTCTGAATGGGCAGGTAAAGAGGGCCTTGATTGATTTTCAAAGAGTAATAAAAATAGAAACATAAATGAATTGTGACTTTGTGCAGTTTTTTTTTTTTTTTTAAATAGTTGCAATCTTTCAAAGCACGGCATTTCTGGGGGGAAAATAAAACAAAGGGGCCTTGGTGGGAAGGTTCGGCACTGCTGGCTTGAGTGAGTGCCATGGTCTCCCCGGCTGTAGATGCTGTGATTTTGTGGTTCAGTTCATGCAAAAAAGAGAGACACACCCCAGAGAAGCAACCAGACGGTATTTCCAGGCAAATCTCACTCAGCCACAGGGACAGGTATTTTGAGGTTGGGATGGTGCTTTCCTGGCCTCTTTTTAGAGCCCAGAGTCAGAGTTCTTCACAGTAAACAGCTGGGACCCTCTGGTTCATGTGACATATGACATTGATAAACCCCACACCAAACCCATTGCTGTTGAGTCAATTCCAAGTCATAGCAACCAATACCAGAAATGGGGCCCATGGCACGAGCTAATACTGCTGATAGGCAGGATGACACACTCTTTCCTGAGACACCTGGGGTCATGATGGATCTTGGCAGCCTGCTCAGCAATTGAGTAGTAGATAATGTCCACAGAACAGCTCGGGCCAGAAATTACAATAAGAATAAACACAGCAGGCTCATTCTTAGAGCCAGAAACTTGAAGATAGAGGGTGTGGTTCTGTGAGCATTCTGGTTCACTATGAGACAGAAAACCTTTGTAGGAATCTCCAGTTCTCCTCCATGCCCTGCCCACTCTGCCTTCCTGGGAGGCAAGATGGAGTATGGGAAGGACACTATCAGAAGACAGATTCTAATCTCAACCTGCCCCTCTGTGGTCCTGTGACCTTGGCCCCTTTGAACCTCAATCACATTGCTTATGAAATAGCAACAATAACATCTAATCCTTTGGCTTCATTTATATTGATCAATGAGACATTATCTGGGAACATGCTTGGAGAAACACATTGTACAACTGCTTGATAGTTTTCTCTGCCCCTACACTCCATACTTAGAGTGGAGTATATAGGGGTAAGTCACTGGGTGTTAACTAAGGACAGAACTGAAGCCTCAGAGTCACATTCTCTGTCCTGACCCCTGGAAATATTTCTTCTTTAGTCACTAAGGTTCTAGCAACATCATGTTTTCTGTAACAGTGAAAAGTGTCCAGATTATGGGTGCTATGCAAGGACCATTAGAGGTGCTTCCATTTCCTCTCACCTCCTGGAGAGAAGGTGATGCAGGTTGAGTGTTGGAGTGAACCTGTCATCACCTATCCCTACCATTTCAGAGTCTTCTCCTTGTCTAGACTCAGACCCAGAAAGCTCAGCAAGTAGCAGTGGCAACACAGGGCTCACCCTGTAGCTTCTCAGTTGTGATGTCCTGCTGTAATGTTTTGGGAAGAAGAGCATGGCTGTGGGCATTTTTTGGAAAAATTAAGACAAACCAATTTGTTACAGCTGGCAGGAGTGGCATATCATGCTCTCCCCGGAAAGGATCAAAAGGCTTCAGGAATAGAACACAAGAAACCCAGGACATGGGCACAGAACATCAAATGGGCAGGCAAGCTTTGCTCTTTTTGGTTCTTCTCAGCTGTCTAATTACGATTTACACACTTCACTGTGCTCCATCTCAGTGGGCCCTTTTGGAGACAGCTGGAGATGATGAAAGCCATACAGTCATTGAAGTCATCTAAACTCAAGTGAAATTTCCAGCTGAGAGACCTCAGTCTAGTCATGCTTCTTCTTTAGGCCTCAGTTTTCTCATCTGTGGAAGGAGGATAAGACAATCTATTTTCAAATGGTTGTGAGAATTAGATGAGATCATGATTAAGTCTATCACATAGAAGGGCTTCCAGGAATGTTAGCTTCTTTCCCTTGCCCTCATTTGCTGTCATCTGAGGGGATGAAGGCAATAGAAAAGGCATCACTAATCACTAGCAGCTGCACACAACCTCGTTTTTAAGAGGGTTGCATCATCATGCCAGTGTCTGTCCTGATACCATGTTTCCAAACAGGGCCCTCAGGCACGGGGCCTTCTCTCCCTGTACCACCTCAGATATCCCAGGCTGGTATGGCAAGGGGCATACGGGAGCATTCAGGATCCTCCCTGGACAAGCCATGGTGGGCCACCCGCCCATTCCGCAGCAAGAGGCGTGCAGACCTGGGTGCCCCGCTGCTCGGCCCGGAGGCGCCACTGCTTGGCCCTGACTCAGAGGGCAGGCCCGAGTGGCTGGGCTGCACACCGACGAGAACCCGCCTGCACAGGAGCCCGCTGGGCCTCTCTGAGTAGGCCTCCTTGTGACTTCCCCGCTGCAGCGGGCAGAGCTGGGTGCGGAAGGCGGCCTGAAAGCCCCTGCGGAAGTTCTCATTGAAGTAACCATAGATGATGGGGTTGGCACTGCTGTTGAAGAAAGCCAGCCAGTGGGCAAAGGGGAAGGCATAGACAGTGACTAGGTGCAGCTGTGGCTCACTGAGCTGCCCGTAGTCGATGAGGAGTAGCAGCACCCACAGTGGCAGCCAGGACAGCGTGAAGAACAGCGCCACCATGACCAACATGTGTACCACCCGGGCCTTGCGCCTGGACGCCCGCCGGCCCTCCATGGTCACCTCCTCTCGGTCCCGGGCAGGGCCCGAGGCCTTGAAGAGCTTGCGGGCGATGCGGGTATACATGACCACTATGAGGGTGAGGGGCGCCAGGTAGATGTGCGAGAAGAGCACTGTGGTGTAGATCCTGCGCATGCCCTTGTCGGGCCACGCCTCCCAGCACGAGTAGAGTGGGTAGAAGCGGTTGTGGGCGTCCACCATGAAGTGGTGCTCCTCACGCGTGACCGTCAGTGTGACAGCCGAGGGACACATGATGAGCAGAGCCAGGGCCCAGATGACCGCGATGGTGACCAGCGCCTTCTGCAGGGTCAGCTTCTCGCGGAAAGGGTGCACGATGCAGCGGAACCTGCCGCCAGGGAGGAAAAAGAAACGGGTGACTGGGGACTTCACTATAAAGTCATCACAGGGAAGACTTTACATTCATCATTGTATCTATTCATCATGGGGCACACGGCTGCGTCAGAAAACAGCTCAGACATTAATTAGTTGGTTTGCAAGCAAATTGGTTTGTCACTTGGGAGGGTGTCAACTCCTAGTTGAGTAGTCAAGAAACAAAGGCACAAATGGCATGTAAAAGAGACAGGGGAGGGAGAAACTGCACACAGTGTGGGAACAGTGAATCCTGCCTGTGCATTTTGGGGGTATCATACTAATTAGCTGGGAGCTCACAGAATGAGCATTTGGCCTTGAGACTATCCTATTAGATGTACCAAAAAAAAAAAAAAAAAACCAATTCTAGCTGTTTTGGGGTCCTTCAGAAAACCTTGGGCATTCAGGTGTGGAGCCTACAGTGACAGGTTGTCTCTAGGTCATGTTGGCCAGCATCCTTCTATCAGTACCTCCACCACATTAGGACACCTCTGTCCCACTTCCTCATTAGAACGTCTCAGCAGTGACTATTGTTATACACCTAGGTCCCAGGGTGGTGCAAAAGGTTTGTTCTGGGCTACTAATTAAAAGAGTGGTTCATATACACCCAGCTATGCTGTGGAAGAAAGGCATGGCTATCTCCTTCTATAAGGTGTTTTTTTGTTAGCTGCCATCAAGTCAACCCCTGACTTTTGGCAACTCCATGCTTAATGGAACAAAATGCCACCTGGTCCTGCACCATCTCCGTGATCAGCTGGGGATTGAACTATTGTGATCCATAGGATTTTCATTAACTGATTTTTGAAAGTAAATCACTTAGTCTGGAAGCGCCACTGAAATCTTTTAGCTAAAACACATAGCCTCCACTGACAGATAGGTTGTGACAGATTGGCCTGGAATTGAACCTAGGTCTCTTGCATGTTGTTGTTGTTGTTATGTGCCGTTGAGTTGGACCCAACTCAAGTGACCCCTCCTTGGGTTTCCGAGGCAGTATCATTACGGAAGTAGATTGCCCAACCTTCATTCCGGAAGGCAAGAATTATACCATTGAACTACCAAATGCCTCATTCCAGAGTAGAGCCACTGATAACCCTACAGAATGCAGTTTTACTCTGACACACAAGATTTCCATGAGTTGGAATAAACTTCATAGCAAGACGCTTCCTTCATTTTACTAATGAAGAAACTGGGACTCAGAGGTGTTTGTTCAGCAACTGGCTCAAGGTTACACAGCTAGCAAGTTAGCAAGTAACAGCCTCGAACCCCAACCTGTCTCGTTTCACTATGCCATATAAATCATTTAAACTCTGGCTGCTCTGGCCTCAGAATCCCCTAAAGCGTTTTTTTAGATTATCTATGCCCAGTTTTCATGACCAAAGCTTCCAATCTAATTACTCTAGAAAGAGGTTTTGAACACTGTTTTTGTTTATTTCTTTGTTTTAGGCTCCTTGGTGATTGTAGAGTGTAGCCAGAGTTGAAAACTGCTGATGGAGGAAAAGGAAGAGGAGAAAACCTCACTTCTATGGTGTGGTTCAAAGGGAATTATTCAACTGCAAGCTCTTTGAAGGCCGGGTGCCATGTCTTTTCATCTCAGTATCCCCAGAGTTTGTTAAATAAATGTGTGATTGAGTGACCAGAATGGCAAGTTACTTAAAATCCTTTTGAGCCTTGGTTTCCTCTTCTGTAAGGTGGGGCCAATAACATTATCTTCTCAATAGGGTGAAGATTGAGATTACACTCGCAAGCTTCTTGAGACATGATAACTGCTTATCAGTGAGAAAAAGGAGGGGCTCCTACTTCCTAGAATGTCTTCTCCTATCTCTTGATGCCAAAAAATGGGAACCTTAAGATAGTCTAGTCAAGTGGTTTAACAGAGGGAAACCTGGCCCAGAGAGGGGAAAGGACTTAAAAGATCACATGGTTAAGGGCAGAACCTGCACTAGATCCCAGGTGTAGAGCTGACTCCTAGCTGCTCTTTCCTGCTTCATTTATATGTTTTGCCTACCCACCTTTTCACTGACAACACCTTTCACCTCTCCCTTGGCCTGATTCAAGCCTTGCTGTCTCAACCTGTATGATTTTGACCTACTGGCTTCATAGCATCACACACTCAGCACATTGCCAGAGAACAGAGAATTCCTAAAGCACATAGTACTGACTATAGTTGCAGTAGCAGTTCATGGGCAGAGGAGAATACTATGGCTTAGATAGTCCAAGATTTCCTGGAGGAGGTGGGATTTGAGGAATACTACAAATACCAATGGGAGAGGCTACACACTCACATAAACTTGCTCCACAGTGATAATGAAACAGATGTCAATGAAGAGAAGGGACTTCCTCCAATCAATGAGCTACTTAGGGCCTTGCAGAGACAGGAGTCCAGTTCCATCACCCCCACTTCCTACTTCACTGCATTATAAAAGATCAGGTTTGATCTTTTAAAGGTGGAGACAGAATGAGAACACTAGAGCCTAGAAAGGGAGGAGGTAAGAAGTGCCTATGTTGGGGAGAGGAGGACAAGGAGAAGGTGTGTGTATAAGAAAGAAAGAAAATAATTAGCAGCTGATATTTGTACTCTGTCATGAGTACTGTGGATTAGCTATACATGCAGAAGCTCACTGAGTCTTCCCAACCACTCTGCCATTTTACAAACAAGAAAACAAGGCTCAGAGCAGCTAAGTGGCTGAGCTAGGCAATGGTGGAGCACATTTGAGGACAAAAAAGACAAAAACAACCTTCAGCCTGCTTGCCTGCCTCCTATCCACACACACTCTGGGAGAAAGCACCCGGAGGGAGGCTTTACACCACTAATCCCACTGGGAAGAAAGAAAACTGTAATGCATTAGTTCAGTGCTTTATTGTTCAAACCTCCTTGGCTCCTGGATCAGTTCCTTACCTTTGGCCACATTTGTAGGACCAGTATTTATCAGAGAATCTGCTAGAACCTGAGGCTAAAAGATCAAAGTGGCTGGAGATATGGTGAAGATAAGGAGCTATGCTTGGCAGGGGCCAGCAAGGAGGCAGTGTGGTGGAATGAAGGAAGGAGAAACCCTTCCTTCCCAGCTATATAGGTTCAAGTCAGGATTCCTACCCTTTAGGATACAAGGACCACCCTTCAGCTCCTTCCTCACAGGCCCCAGGAGTCCCTTAATTTCCTCAGGAGCTGCTTCTAGGCCTTCTGGAGGGAGAAAACAGTGTTCTCTGCTCCTCTCCAAGCCTAGAGGGCAGCCTGCCTGACAGCCCTTCGCTTTCTAGCTCAGGATTCAGTCTCCACCTACTAGCAGAGCAGCCCCAGGCTTCCAGCTGACACAGTAATGGAGATGGTGGTTCCTTCTAGAGTGTTGTTGTTGTTGTTATGTGCTGTGGAGTCGACCCGACTCATAGCAACCCCTCCTTGGGTTTCCAAGGCAGTATCACTACGGAAGTAGATTGCCCCATCTTCCTTCCGAGGAGTGGCTGGTGGGTTTGAACCACCAGCCTTCTGTTTAGCAGTCAAATGTCTTAGCCACTATGCTACCAGAGCTCCTTTCTAGAGTGTAGTCCCCAGTTATCCCAGGATAACCCAGCAGGAGACCTCTCACCTTTCCACAGCAATGGCGACCAAGGTGAAAACGGAGGCTGACACAGACATGCCCTGCACCAAGCCACTCATCTTGCATGTGGTGTTGTCAAAGGGCCACCCTGCAATGACAGAGGCCATCACAGAGTGAGAGAGAGCCCGAGACTTCCAGGCAATCCAAGCCAGGTCCCACTGAAGGCTTGGGTCTTTCCACCAGGTCCTGCTAGGTGGTCATTCAGCCTCTGCTTGCACAGTTCCAGGAATGGGGAACTCACTACAGCCTTAGAAGCCCATACCCCCCTGGACACTTCTGACTATTAGAGAGACATCCTTTATATTGACCAAAATGTGTCTCCTTATGATTTCTCTCCATGAGCTTTCGAGCCGTTCAGCCCTGCCTAGCTTTCTGCTCCCATAGTTCTGCCCCTGGTTCTAGGCCAAACCAAAAACCAAACCCACTGCTGTTGAATTGATCAACTCATAGTGACCCTATAGGACTAGGGCTTCCAAGGCTGTAAATCTTTACATACTTCCTGGGTTTCCATCCCTGGAAGACTGGAGGATAAAATGTGGTAGACACTCACCACGAAGTATTAACCTACCAACCTTCTGGTTAGCAGCCTAGCCCTTTAATCATTGTGCCACCAGGGCTCACTGGTTCTAGGCCCAAAAGAACCAAACCCAACCCACTGCCATCAAGTCAATTCCAACTCATAGTGACCCCCATTGGGTTTCTGAGGGGATAAATCTTTACAGAAGTAGCTTGTCCCATCTTCTTTCCATGGAGTGGCTGTGGGTTTGAACCACCAACCTTCTGGTTAGTGGTCAAATGCCTTAGGCACTGTGTCACCAGAGCTCTTTGGTTCTAGGCCACTGGTTCTCAAATTTGTCTGCACATTAGAATCACCTGGGGAGTTTTGAAAAGAATTAATACCCAGGCCTAGGCCAGAACAGCTATAATCAGAATCTCTAGGAGTAGGACCTAGATATTAGTATTTTTGAAATCTACCCAGGGGACTTAAGTGGCCACCAAAGTTGAGAATCACTAGGGTGAACCTATCCTGACTCTCAGCAGTGAGAGGTGTGAGTAGCTGTAGCCCATTCTGCTACCTGGTGTCCTCATTCTGACCTCTGGGCTTCTGCTTTGTCATGAGACTTGGCTCCAATGACCAAACTCACTGCCATGGAGTCAGATCTGACTCATAGCGACCATTCCTTGGGTTTCTGAGGCAGTATCACTATGGAAGTAGAATACCATTGGGCCACCAGGGCTCACTGGTTCTAGGCCCCCAAAACACAAACCAAACCCACTGCCATTGAGTCAATCTTCCTTCTGAGGAGTGGCTTGTGGCTTTGAACCACCAGTCTTCTAGTTAGCAGTCAAATGACTTAGACATTTTGCCACCAGAGCTCCCCTGAGACTTGGCACATGGAAGTTAATTAATTTATCATCTCTTTGGCCCTATGGAAGGAGCTCTGGTGGTGCAGTGGTTAAAGCATTTGGTTACTAACCAAAAGGTTGGGAGAAAGATGAGGCAGTCTGCTTCTGTAAAGATTTATAGCTTTGGGAACTCAGCAGGACAAATATATTTTGTCTTATAGGGTCACTATGAGTCAGAATCAACTCAGTGGCCATAGGTTTTTTTGTTGTTGTTCTTTTTGCCCTGTTTTGGTTACCTAGTGCTGTTCTAACAGAAAATACCACAAATGGGATGGCTTGAACAAACAGGTGTTTATTCTCTTATAGTTTAGGAGGTTAGAAGTCCGAGTTCAAAGCTAGCTCTAGGGGCTGGGCGAAAGCCCCTCAACTTTGGGCTTCAGCTCTGCCTCTTGCTTCCAGCCCACTGGAGCTGGAGGCATCTCTTCATTCAGGCAGCTTCTGGCTACTGAGGCTGACAAACCCAAGGTCAGCAAATAAAATGGCACAGTTCCAAGATTATCACACAACACAGTTGGCTACTGGTTCAAGTCCAGAAACAATCCTAAGATTGGCAGACAACATGGCAGGCTGCTGACTGAAAACTCAGGCTACATGCAGGGTCCAAGCATGCCAAAAAGCTCTAGACCATTCCCAAATCTTCTCCTTATATACTGGAAGCAGACCACATCCCTAAAGCAGCTACTCTCCAGTAGACTCCACCATGGAGTTAATTACCAGTCTCATCATGGGGAATAACTACATCCAGCTGCCCAGCCACTCAAACCCAGGCCCAGCCAAGTTGACACACAACCTTAACTACCACATGCCCTTATGGATCTGTGGTGAGAGTCAGGTCTGGGTGCTGGGGAGTGTCATGGAAAATCAGTACGACTGTGCAGAGCAAACAGGTTCTATTTTGGCAAACTGGGTATGTACAAACTCTCTGACCCAGCAATTTCTCTCCTGGGTTCATATCCCAAAGATATTCCTCCAAGATTGATAAAAATATTCATTGCAATGTTATTTGCAGTGATGGAGAATTGGAGGCAGTGGTGTGCTGGTAAACCACCTCTCTCAGGGAGGGGGTGTGTCTGATTTGCAGCATTTACCAATTTCTGTGGTGTAAATGTCCTTACATAACCAATTTCAAACACCTATATAATGTCACTGAGCACAAAATTATGAAGAAATGTGTACAATCAGCCCCATGGATAAGTACAAGTCAACTCTAGCACACCACTAGATGGAGGCTACCTGGATGTCCATCCCTGAGAGACTAGAGGATAAAATGTGGTGGACACCCACCATGAAGTGGCAAGCAGCAGTTAGGAGAAGATCAGATGTATACATGGCAATATGGACCAAATGCTTAGCAACAAAAGTAAGAACTAAAATGAGAAGATACCACAAAACCATTTAGTTAAATTAACAGTGTATCCACAAGAATAGCTATAAAAATCTTGAAATAGAAAATCTACTGGTTGGGGGAGGGTGTAGCCCTACCAGACATTAAAACAACCTAAAACTTCTATAATTAAAAGTGTCATACTGGCACAGGAGTAGACAAATAGACCAGCAGAATAAGATAGCCCAACAATAGACTCAAAGTACAATAGAAATTTAGTGTATGATAAAAGTGGCATCTCAAATCACTATGGCTAAGACTGACTTTTTAATAAAAGATGCTTAGTCAACTAGTGTAGTGGTTAAGTTTGCGTGTTAACTTGGCTGGGCCTGGTTGAGTGGCTGGGCAGCTAGATGTAGTATTCCCCATGGTGAGACAGGTAATCAACTCCATGGTGGAATCTACTGTGAGCAGCTGAGCTGCCTTAGGGATGTGATCTGCTTCCTACATATAAGGAGAAGCTTCTCTAGCCTATGGCACACTTGAACCCTGCGTGCAGCCAAGTCATTGTTCAGCACCCTGCCATGCTCTGCTGACCTTGGGAGAAAGTCCCATGGCCTCTGGGGGTGGAACCACCATAGCCCCCTAGGTTTCAAACAGTTAGACCTTCATCAACTTGGTTCTGGAGTGTAGGGCTGCTCGTTGATGTGGGCCAGTGGGATGGAGCCATAGGGGCTGCCCAAGAGAGAAGGGGCAGGGCTGCCATGCCCAAGAGGGAGAGGAACAGGGCTCACCAGGCCAAGGGGGTGAGGTCGCCACTCAGGAACTAGGGGATTAGAACCACTCAGTGAAGGAGATCTGTACAGATGCCAAGTTGACAAGGGGTGGAATTGTGGTGGTTAAGTTTGTGTGTCAACTTGGCTGGGCCTGGTTGAGTGTCTGGGCAGCTGGATGTAGTATTCTCCATGATGAGACTGGTAATCAACTCCATGGTGGAATCTACTGTGAGCAGCTGAATAGCTGCCTTAGGGATGTGGTCTGCTTCCTGTATATAAGGAGAAGCTTCGAGGAACGGTCTCTAGCTGATGGCACGCTTGAACCCTGAGTATAGCCAAGTCATTGTTCAGCAGACTGCCATGCTCCACTGACCTTGGGACTTTCAATGGACTTGAATTAATGGCCTGCTGTGTGGTTTGGTAACATCAAGACTGTGCCATTTTTATTTGGGCTTGTTAGCTTCAGCAGCCAGTAGCTGCCTGAGTGAAGAGATGCCTCTAGCTTCAGTGGGCTGGGAGCAAGACACAGAGCTGAAGCCCAAGGTCGAAGGGCTTTCACACAGCCCCTAGAGCTTGGCACTTTGAACTTGGACTTCTAGCCTCCTGAACTGTGAGAGAAGGAGTTTATTTCCTGTTTGTTCAAGCCATCCCATTTGTGGTATTTCTGTTAGAGTGGCACTAGGTAACCAGAACAACTAGGTAGCCATGTGGAAAAGGAAAAAATTATATTCATATCTGCATCATGCAGAAGAATAAATTCCAGGTAGATTAGGAATCCAAATACACGTGTGTGTGTGTGTGTGTGTTTTATATGTATACATATGTGTGTGTATGTATGTATGTATTAAGGAGCTCTGGTGGAATAGTGGGTGAGACTGTGTGGTGGTTACGTTTGTGTGTCAACTTGGCTGGGTCTGGTTGAGTGGCTGGGCAGCTGAATACAGTTATTCCCCATGGTGAGATTGGTAATTAACTCCGTGGTGGAATCTACTGGAGCAGCTGAGTAGCTGCTATGGGTGTGTGGTCTGCTTCCTGTATATAAGAAACAGCTTTGGGAATGGTCTCTAGGTTATGGCACGCTTGAACCCTGCATGTAGCCGTGTTGTTGCTCAGCAGGCTACCATGCTCTGCCGACCTTGGAACTTTCAATGGACTTGAAAGAATAGCCTGCCATGTGGTTTGGTAACATTGGGACTGTGCCTTTTTACTTGTCAACCTTGGGCTTGTCAGTCTCAGCAGCCAGTAGCTGCTGAGTAAAAAGATGCCTTGAGCTTCAGTGGACCAGGAACAAGAGGCAGAGCTGAAGCCCAAGGCTGAGGGGCTTTGACCTAGCCCCTAGAGCCAGGCACTTTGAACTCGGACTTAAAGCCTCCAAACTATAAAAGAATAAACTTCTGTTTGTTAAGGCCATCCCATTTGTGGTATATTCTTGTCAGAGTGGCACTGGGTAACCAGAACAGGCTGCTAACCTTCTACTAACCAGAAGGTTGGGAGTTCAGACCCACCAGCTGCCGTGGGAGGAAGATGGGGCAATACACTTAAAGATTTATAGCCTTGGAAACCCAGTGGAGATCGCTATGAGTCAGAATTGACTAGATGGCAGTGAGTTTGGTTGTATATGTATATATAAGTGTGTGTGTGTGTGTGTGTGTATATATGTATGTATATGCTGTACAAACACTAGAAAAAACATGGATAAACTCTTTAACCCAAGTGTAAACAAGACTTTCTCATGTTTCAAGATCCATATGCAATTAAAAAATAGTTTGAGAAATCTGACTATATAAGTTTTAATTTGCCTAGCAAAAATTTCTGTGAACAAAATCAAAAGGCAGTTGGCAGCCAGGGAGAAAATAAGGATAATATGTATATCACAAAGTGCCATTATCCTTAATACATAAAGAACTTTTAACAAAAATCGAGGTGTGTTGCAGTTGAATTCAATCTCTGAAGACCTGTTCTGCCCTTTCTTTCTATCTGAAATCAACATGACATTTATTTTTGATCTTTCTCATTTAAATGCATTTGGAGGCTAGGAAAAAAAAGTTAGGGACAAAGGACTAAAAAACCTGACAGAAGAATGGGGAAAAAAAAACATAAATAAACAATTCACAAAACGTTTAAAAATGGCTCTTAAGCATATGAAATAGTGTTTAACCCTTACTCATAATTAGAAAAGTGAAAAATAAAATGACATTGAGATACTATTTCTCATTTATCTCATTAGTAGAAATGAAAGAGGACATTTGCATGACCTCAAAGTATCTCCCTAGAAGATGGTTATTAATTATAAAGGGAGTTTTTTTGGGTGATGAAATTGTTCTGCATCTTGATTGTGTTGGTAGTTACATCACTGTATATGTTTGTACAATCTTATGGAATGGTACACTAAAAAGAGTGGATTTTTTTTTGAAATTTTTATAGTGATGTGGGTGAAAGTTTACAGAGCAAATTCATTTTCCATTCAGCAGTTCATACACATTTTGTTTTGTGACATTGACTACAATCTGCCACAATGTAACAGCACAAAGGATGGATTTTTATTGTATGTTAAATCATACCTCAAAATATTTAAATGTCAAATATGCGCACATATTGTAAAAATGCATACAAACAAATAGGAACTCATTAAATATAATAGATGGCTGCCTAAGAGTCAGGGAAGGGGAATTTGAGTGAGATAGGGAGCTAGAAGGGGATGAAGAAACAATCAAAAATAAACAACGGGCTTTGCAATAGATTGAAGTCATATGGTGCCATGAAGGGTGGACACAAATAATTCAACCCTCTGCACCTAAGTTCAGAAAAAAGTAAAGCTCTATAAGGTTCTGTATTATTGCAAAATATTCTATTAGAAATGACCTAAATACCTATTAAGAAGAGACTGCTTAAGTAAATTATAGCATCCATACAACAGAATTCTAAGCAGTTGTAAAAAGAATGCAAAAGTTCTTTTATTTATGGTTTACTGCCTAAGGCATCTGACTGCTAACCAGAAGCCTTGCAGTTCAAACCCACCAGCCACTCCTCAAAAGTAAGGTTGGGCAATCTACTTCTGTAGAGATACCACCTCAGAAACCCAAGGAGGGGTCACTAGGAGTCAAATTGACTCAATGACAGTGAGTTTGGTTTTTTTTTGTTTTGTTTTGTTTATGTAAAAATCCATGATAGATTTTTAAGTGGGAAAACAAGTGAAGGTGTAGAACTGACTGTGTGGAAAGTCAGCATTTCTTTAATTTGCTTGTACTTGCATAGAATATTTTTGGAAAGAGATACAAGAAACCTGAAAACGTTGGTTGCCTCCCAGGAGAGGAGCTAGGAGGTGAGACGACGGGGGTGGAAGGAAGATTTCTCATTTCGGTAACTTTTGACTGTTGAACCATGTGAATGGTTTACCTGTTCAAATAATTTTAAAAATGTAGATATGTAAAAAGGATTGGGAACTAGAGACTTTGCCATATCCCTGTTGACTGGTGTGTGCATGAGTCTGAGTATGTGCCTGTACATGGGTGCATGTGTGTGCAGGTGTGTCTGTATGTGCACCTCAGTATGTATGTGTGCATGCATGTCTCTACATGCACCTCTGTATGTATGTATGTGTATGTGTGTTGTGTGTGGCTGCATGTGCCTGTTTACCTACATATGTGCATCTCTGCATGTATGTATGCAAGTATGCATGTGTGTATGTGTTGGGGAAGAGAAAGGATACACAGTTTATATTCAGCATCCCTGAAAGGAGCTGGGATTCAGCAATGAGAAAACGTTCCACTAGGCAGAGACTGTACAGCTGAGGGGAATCTGCCCCTGCCCCAGGTCCATTTCCTGGGTCATAGAACCTACAGAAACATAGGCTGCAGCTCTCCCTGGCCTGAGTCAGGTAAATCACCCCAAATGGGGCTGTCCACCTGAATAACACAAACAAGCAGGGGTTCCCCAGTTTCATACAAGTGAGGAGCAGCAGCAGACCAGCTGTCTCCTATATAGCCACATGGCCTGTTGCTAAACACAAATCCTTGATGAAAGATGCAAACAGTAATTGAACTGGCAAGAAATTAGAAGGAAATACCCAGACCCTTCCCTTCCCAGTTCTGCACATATGTCATCTTCTGAAGCTCATAATCAGACAGGAAATGTCCAAGTCCTGGATCCTGAGTTGCTGGAGCTCTGAGCTCAGAGCCTGCAGGCTTGGGCCTCTAGGGGTCTCCACAGCTCTGGAAACCAGTCCCTCCCACCCAGAGTCTCAGGGTCTGTCTGAGGAGCTCTGATTCTGAAACATGAAAGGAAAGTCACAGGGGAGACAGTAGATGGCAGCGGGATCATTCTGACATTTCCAGGAGGCACAGTTAGGTATAGAGAGGTAAAGTGCTCTAGTTCTTGAATCCCTGTTATGTGTCTGGCCAGTCCCTATTTGGACACTCCTGTGACATCCAGCTCCAGGGCAGGACACTCTAGTTGAACAGGTCAAATAGTGGATTTTTAAGTCCTCATCCAGAGGAAGCCTGCCTCCCTACCACTTCTTCCCACTGGTTCTAGTTCTACCCATGGGAGCTGTGTGGGAGGGTGAGGTCATATGATGCAGTGGTCAGGAGCACAGGTATAAAATGTGGACCGTGGCATCTATTAGCTGTGTAACTATGGACCAGTCCCGTAACCAACCTAAGCAACTGTTTCCTCATCAATAAAATGAGGATAATAATACAACCTATTTTATCGGTTAATTAAGATAATACATGAAGAGAAGAGTACTTAACACAATGCCTGGCACAAAGAAAATTATTAATTCAGATATCTATTATTTCTAGTCTAATCCCTGTGCCATGAGACTATCTGAGAGCTTGAGACTATGGCATCTTGGCCAAGAGACCAGCCCAGCAAATGATTTTTGTCTTTTGAGCTCCCATTTCAGGCCTTTCAGAAGGAGCAGGGAGGAAGCCCCATCATTCACTGCCCACACTTACCAGTGATAAGGTTGTCCACAAGGGTGGTAGGCATGCAGAAGATGCCCACCAGCAGGTCACTGACAGCCAAGTTGAGGATGAACATGTTGGTGACAGTGCGCATGTGCCGGTTCTTGAGCACAATGAAACAGACCAGGGCATTGCCCACCATGCAGAGGAGGAAGATGAGCACGTAGGCTACAATGAACATGGCTGCCACTGGTGAGGAGTGCTGGTAGTAGGAGGAGAAGGTGAGGTTTGCAGCTGGGTTGGTCTCAGCACTGCTTCCATTCTGGCTTCTGGGCCAGCTGCCCTTGGGAAGCTGGGAGGGCTCTCCTGGAACCAAAGGAGCAATGGGTCAGGACCCCAGACAAATGGGAGATGACTGACTTTTCACCACTGGTGAGACCCTTCTACGTTCCAAACCCTGACAATGTCCTACTACCCCTATCACGTGTCCAACTCCAATTTCCACTGGATGCACTGATTAAAAACTTTCAATGCTGACTACTCAAGCCTTCATCTCATACCTCCAACCACACCTTGTCTATTCCCCAAAGAGGTTTATTCCCAATTTGCATTGCCACCCTCATCTAGTTTCCATCCTTCTCAGCCCTGCTCTGTGACCCAGAGGCTGGCTTCAAAGGACCTGCATCATCCAAGTTCCATTGCCTTTTGGTGTCTGGCTGAGTTCAGCCAATGGAAGGCACTGAAGGAGATCAAAGGGCAGGAGAAGACAGAGGGCAGGGTATATATTTCCTGATTCACTCCTTACCTGGCCCAGATTTTTCAATGGCTGTTTTTCTCTATGGCTGGCCACAGCTCATTGAGTGGACTCTCTTCCAGGGTAGCTCTTGTCACACTTCCATAACAGTTCGCCCTCCTTGCCCCAAAAGGCCTACAGGTGGTAAGGCTTCCTGTGGTTGCTAATCTTTAGGTGATTTGCCATTCCTCACTGGTTCCCCTTAGCCCTTCCCTCACCTCTATAAAGCCGCTCCATTTAACTCTCGTCGGTTATGCCTTTTCTGAGTATGCCACCCGTTTCCTTCTGGGATTCTGACTACTATACACTCAAAATTTTTGAGATCCCTTCTCACAATCTCCTCCATAGAACTTTAGCTGGGAAAGGCAAGAAGGCAGTAGAGAAGAAGAGAATGAAAGGAGAATCTGAACCAGGGCTAAGGAGCAGATCCACCAAACCAAACCCACTGCTGACAAGTTCATTCTGACTCACAGCAACCCTATAGGACAGAGTAGAACTGCCCCACAGGATTTCCTAAGGCACTAGACTGCTAACCAGAAGGCTGGAGGTTCAAACTCACCAGCTACTCCTTGGAAGGAAGATGGGGCAATCTATTTCCATAGTGATACTGCCTTGGAAACCCAAGGAGGGCTCACTATGAGTCAGGTCCGACTCAACGGCACGTAACAACAACAACAACAAATCTTTACAGAAGAAGACTGACACATCTTTCTCCTGAGAGAGTGGAGGTACACATTAAATTCACCAGAAAAACAACCAAAGGCAAGGCTACAACCCTTCTTTCACCTCCTCCTATCATGGTGATCAGCTGTTTTATTTGCAACACATTTTACAAAGCCTTACCATACTTATCAATCACCCATCTGTCAATTTGTACTACTGTGGTGGCTTGTGTGTTGCTATGATACTAGAAGCTATGCCACCTGTATTTCAAACACCAGCAGGGTCACCCATGGTGGGCAGCTTTCAGACTAGAACAGACTAGGAAGAAAGGCCTGGTGATCCACTTCTGAAACTTAGGCAATGAAAACATGGATCACACCAGAATATTGTCCAATACAGTGCTAGAAGAGAGCCCCCTAGGCTGGAAAACTAAAACCAAATCCATTGCCATCGAGTCTATTCCGACTCATAGCAACCCTATAGGACAGAGTAGAACTGTCCCATAGGGTTCCCAAGGCTGTAAATATTTATGGAAGTAGACTGCCTCATCTTTCTCCCATGAAGCAGCTGGTAGGTTAGAACCACTGCTATTTTGGTTAGCAGCCCAATGTTTTAACCATAGTGCCACCAGAGCTCCTTTCCTAAGTTGGAAGATAACTCAAAATACACAGTAGCGACAACCATGGACTTGAACATACCAATGATCATGAAGATGGCAGGGTTTCATTCTGTTATATGAGTTGGAGCTGACTTGATCACAACAAACAAAAACAACATCCATACCTATTATATCATTTAAACTCTCTTAGCCACTCTATTGAGGAGCTCTGGTAGCATAGTGCCTAAGGCACTTGACTAGCAGCAGCCACTCTATGAAGTAATCCATTTCAGTACTAGCCCCATTTGAATTGAGAGAACTGGGATCAGAGAGACTCAGTGACTTGCTCAGGTCACACAATGAGTAGCACCAGAGTTGGCTTTGCTCTGTAAGTCTAGGTGTCTCTTAGTTAGCCCCAGGCTTTGATGTGTGTTTATCTAGCCATGTTTTGAAGGGAGTGGTTAAGTGTCCAAACTCAGCTCTTCTGTTGTTGTTGTTGTTGTTGTTGTTATGTGCCCTGAGTCAGACTTGACTTATAGTGACCCCTCCTTGGGTTTCTGAGGCAGTATCACTACTATCACTACGGAAGTAGATTACCCAACCTTCCTTCTGAGGACTGGCTAGTGGGTTTGAACCACCAGCCTTCTGGTTAGCAGTCAAGTGCCTTAGGCACTATACTACCAGAGCTCCTCTAACTCTTCTGGGAAGTCATTAGATGTGGTGACTCACAATGTTGTCTCATAAACTCTCTTCCTGCCATCCTCTGGGACTGAATGTGGCCTGTTTCAGGGGATGAATAGTCTGTAGGGAGACTTCTTCTGTTGCATCCAGAGCTCAGCCACTGGCCTGCAGTTCTGCTGGAGGCTGGAAGACCCTGGGGGGATATGGTGCTGTGAGGGCTTCAGGGACCAGCAGGTGCAGCAGCCAGGTTCTCTGATTGGAGTGGAGGACCTGCTGGTGGAGATGGAGAAGTGGGAGCCCTAAGCATGGTAAGAGGAAGAGATAACACTCACCTGCTTAGGTACTCATATGCATGCAACAGCTGGACGATGAATTATGGTGTTGGCCAAGAATGCTGAATACATCATGCACTGCCAGAAGAACAAACAAAGCTGTCTTGGAAGAAGTACAGCAAGAATGCTCCTTAGAAGTGAGGATGCTGAGACTTTGTCTCATGTACTTTGCACATGTTATTAGGAAGGACCAGTCCCTCTAGAAGGACATCATGTTTCATAAAGTAGAGGGTCAGCAAAAAGAGAAAAACCTTCCATGAGATGGATTGACACAATTGCTGCAACAATGGGCTCAAGCATAGCAATGATTGTGAGGATGGTGCAGGACCGGGCAGTGTTTCATTCAGTTGTACATGGGGTCACTATGAGTCAGAACTGACTTGATGGTACGTAACGACAACTACTACTACTACCAGTTGCCAGTGAGTCAACTCTAATTCATGGCAATCCCATGTGTGTCATAGTAGGACTGTGCTCCATAAGGTTTTCAAGGGCCTTTCTTCCAAAGCACATTAACTATTTGTATCACTCAGAGAAGCCAGGGGACCACAGACAGAGGCAACAGGGATCTCAGGTAAGGGAAGGGACACAGGTCCCACTCCCAAGAGGCAGGAAGTAGAGAGGTTTCAAACAGCTAAGGGAGACAAACTTGTCTGTCAGTTTGTCGTACTGTGATGGCTTGTGTGTTGCTGTGAGGCTTGAGGTTGTGCCACCAGTGTTTCAAACACCAGCAGGGTTGCACATGGTGCACAGGTTTCAATGAAGCTTACAGACTGAGACAGACTAGAAAGAAGGAACAGATCATCCACTTCTCAAAGAATTGGCCAGCAAAAACCTTATGAATAGCAGAGAAACACTGTCTGATACACTATTGCACTACTGCACAACTTTATGAATAGCCCAGAAACACTGTCCGATATAATAAGGGAGGACAAGTCCCTTAGGTTGGAAGGTTCTCGAAATAAGACTGGGAAAGAGCTGCCTCATCAGAATAGAACCAATTTTACTGATATGGATAAAGTAAAGCTTTTGAGACCTCCATTTGCTGATGTGGCATGACTCAAATTGAGGAGAAACAGCTATAAACATCCATTAATAATCAGAACATGGAATGTATGAAGTATGAATGTTGGAAAATTGGAAGTTGTCTAAAATGAAATGGAACTCATAAAGATTGATATCCTAGGCATTAGTGAGCAGAAGTGGACCAGTTTTGGTCACTTTGAATCAGACAACCATATGATCTACTATGCAGGCAATGACAATTTGAAGAGGAATGGCGTGGCATTCATCATCACAAAGGATGTTTCAAGATCTGTCCTGAAGTACGATGCTGTCAGTGATAGGATAATATCCATATGCCTACAAGGAAGCCAGTTAATACTACTATTATTCAAATTTATGCACCAACCACCAAAGCCAAAGATGAGGAAACTGAAGATTTTTACCTTCTTCTGCAGTCTGAAATTGACTGAATGTGCAATCAAGATGTGTTAATTATCACTGGTGATTGGAATGCAAAAGTTGGAAACAAAGAAGAATCACTGGTAGTTGGAAAATTTGGCCTTGGTGACAGAAATAACACTGGATATTGCATAATAGAATTTTGCAAGACCAACAAGTTATTCATTGCAAATGCCTTTTTCAACAACACAAACTGTGGCTATACACATGGACTTCGCCAAATGGAGTACACAGGAATCAGATTGACTATATCTGTGGCAAGAGGTGATGGAAAAGCTCGATATCATCAGCCAAAACCAGGCCAGGAGCTGATGGTGGAATAGACCATCAACTGCTCATATGCAAGTTCAACTTGAACTTGAAGACAACTAAAACAAGTCCACAAGAGCCAAAATATGATCTTGAATATATCCCTCAGAATTTAGAGACCATCTAAATAATAGATTTGATGCATTGAATACCAATGACCAAAAATCAGAAGGATTGGGGGATGACATCAAGAACATCATCCATGAAGAAAGCAAGAGGTCATTAAAAAGATGAGAAAAGAAGGAAAGACCTAAATGGATGTCAGAAGAGACTCTGAAACTTGCCTTTGAGCGGAGAGTAACTAAAATAAATGGAAGAAATGACAAGATAATAGAGCCGAAGAGAAGATTTCAAAGTGCAGCTCAAGCAGACAAAGCCAATTACTATAATGAAATGTGCAAAGACCTGGAGTTAGAAAAGCAAAAAGGAAGAACACACTCAGCATTTCACAAGCTGAAAGAACTGAGGAAAACATTTAAGCCTCGAGTTGCAATACTGAAAGATTCTATGGGCAAAATATTGAATGATGCAGGAAGCATCAAAAGAAGATAGGAGGAATACACAGTCACTGTACCAAAAAGACCTGGTTGATCTTCATCCATTTCAGGAGGTAGTATATGTTCAAGAACCAATGGTATTGAAGGAAGAAGTAGAAGCTGCACTGAAGGACCTGGTGAAGAATAAGGCTCCAGGAATTGACGGAATGCCCACTGAGATGTCTCAATAAACAGATGCCCCACAGGAGGCACTCACTTGGTTATGCTAAGAGATTTGGAAGACAGCTACCTGGCCAACTGACTGGAAGAGATCCATATTCGTACCTATTCCAAAGAAACATGATTCCACAGAATGTGGAAATTATCGAACAATATCATTAATATCACATGCAAGTAAAATCCTACTGAAGATAATTCAAAAACGGTTGCAGCAGTATATTGACAGAGAACTTCCAGAGGTAAAAGCTGGATTCAGAAAAAGGGATATCATTGCTGATGTCAGATGGATCTTGGCTCAAAGCAAAGAATACCAGAAAGATGTTCTCTTGTGTTTTATTTTTTATGCAAAAGCATTTGATTGTGTGGATCATAACAAATTGTGGATAACATTGAGAAGAATGGGAATTCCAGAACACTTAATGCATTTATGAGGAACCTGTGCATAGACCAGGAGCTGTTGTTCCAACAGAACAAAGGGACACTGCATTTAAAATCAAGAAGGGAGTGCGTCAGGGTTGTATCCTTTCCCCACACTTATTCAATATGCTAATCCGAGAAGCTGGACTATGTGAAGAAGAACATG